GTTGTTTCACACAGGCCAACTTCTGCAGGTTCCCTCGAATTATTTTTATTCTGACCTCCATTTATCTGGCAAGCAGCTTCAAATAACTCACACCTCCTCTTTCTACCTACAGATGGACTTAAAGCATCCAAGCTTGTTGGGTTCTTTTTACGTTGCTCAATAGACTTCTCTGATAGATATCTTCCTTTCTTGCAAGGTGTTGTTACATTGCACTCTAGCTCACTAGCTATCTCTCCTGTCTGCTCTAGCTCTCTGACTACATGTTCAACCTAAATGCAATTACAGTGAAACAATTCAACCTGGGTCACCTAATGTTTCAAGCAAATCACAAGACAACTTCAGAGCAAAAGATCTGGAGTTTTTTTCATCAGCAGACCAATCTCAGTAATAGACAACTTCAACTGTGAGTTTGAAAATGGCAGATCTTTTGTTTTGAAAAAATGTTGGGAGGTCCAGGTTGATTTCATTTCACTCTAAAAGAAAATTAAAAAAAAAACATTGTGGGGATATTAAGAGCAGAACTTAAAATACTGGGAGTTCTATGCTCTCATCTCAGTCCTTAACAGTTATAGAAAAGAAGCTGTTTCAATGATGCTGGGAGTTATGACATGCTCTTAACATGCCTATTATACAGTCATATATTACCTTTGTTTCCAGACGTTCTAACTTTTGCTTCTTGGCTCTCAGCTCTTTCACCTTTTCTGCAATTTTAAGATTTTCTGCAATAATTTTCTCAGACTGCCTGACTGCTTCTTCCCTTTTCTGCTTATGCACCGCCATAAAGGCACCCACTTGAAACCTCCTGTACTTCCTCATCCTTGGGCCACATTCTGCCATGGTTCTCTGTAGACATGGAAAGGACCTTAGATATTGAGGGCTGCCCATTTTGGTGTCTTTCTAAGTCTTTGAAGAGATTGTTCAAGTGCGGTTTCGAATCAAGTCATAAAGCAGAACCAACATTTCCACACTTGCACTGACAAAATATTTGCCATTTACAAGACCCTTTCCGAGTCTTTGTAGGGATTGTTTGAGAATTTCTGCTAACAAATTGTTGTTCTCAAAGGCACCTTCTTCTATTTCTTCACTCTTAATATCTAAATCTTTATTCTCCAACTCATCATCCTCCAGAACTTTTTCATGACCCAAATGTGGTAAGAAAAAAAAAACCAGACGTGAGTGCGATCACGCAAATGTGCGATTCAGTTGTACAAAAACAATAACGATTTACTGTCAAGTGGAAAACTACAATAAGATTTATGAAGAAAAATAGCTGCACAAAATTGTTTTTCGAAAAAACAAAAAACATACGACAAAACATTGACATTCTGTGAAAGCTACAAAAGCTACAAAAGCAAAACTATGAAATTCTAATGACAACAAAAGAAAATGAATGAAGGCAAAGAATACACCTGTAAAAACTGGAAGTTAATATGTGAAAAGGCAGCCTTAATTATATGGCTAGGCTGTCCAAAAAAGAAAGTACTTACTGGCGTTTGGTACCAAAACAAACAGCAGAAATTAATCTCTTCACCGACTTAGGTCGCACAGTGGTTCAAGCATTGACATGCTGGTAAACTAGATGCAATAAAAAGTAAGAGCGTATAAGTATCACAATTTGAAATTAATGACACAGGATGTTGTCGACACAGGATGTGTTGCAGTACCTGACTGAAATGTGGCACTGATTCAAATGTTGAATTTATGCTGTGTTGAAGTAACAGTAGACATTACTCTTTTATGAATTACATGCAGCGTGCGGCATACATAAATCCGACCTGTGCTGAACTTCTATTGAACTCAGCCAAATTAAACTAGGCCTTGTATAGGGACAAGTTACAACAGTTTGTACACCAGCCACAATTGTTTACTACTGTTTATATATATTCATTTACGCTAAAAATAGTTCTTAAGCATAAAAAGCGTAAGGTCATATGATAAACAAAATCAAGTTAAACTGCAGAAACGTACTTGCTTACCAAGTTTGCACATTTAATATATTCATGCCATTCATTTTATTTTAGCTTACGCTTATGTATTTTATATTACTCGTAATCACGCACGAGAAAACTCGTGGTCGGTAAGCTGCCTGGCCTTCTCAGAACAGTTGATCTGTTTGGCAATACATGCAAAATTACACAGTCAAATTTCAGTGAGCCCTCAGGACGTACGCTTCTTTTTCAAAAATCCAAAACCATACGATCAACATTTGACCCACTGTTAATGCTATGAAAGTAAAATAAACACATTTTAACAGAAACAGGCGGAAATGAATGGAGGCAAAAAAAGACACCTTTTCGAATAAGAGGAATCGGGACAAAAAGCGGCTGAAAAAAAAGCCTTGATGTCTAGAAAAACAAAGAAACCTACCCATGTTTGGTAGCAAACGAAAGGTCTTGGATCCCTCTTCCAAGATGGCTTCCCGGTATTTACCTTCCAACCTCAGAGGGCCCTTTGAGGAGGACTAAAAAACCGTCATTTGACGCGTTATAAGTTCGTACCTAGTCTTCTACAAAAAGTGTCTGGTCCAATATGGCGACCAACCACGCGGATGGCGAGCGATTTTGAGTCATTCTGTGCCCACCGTGATTGGTCTCGACTATTCCTCGCTCTGTTTTTTTCTTAGATGGGATTCGTCGTAGTTTTTTCGTTTCCGACTCCCCACGATTATAAATCGATTTGTTTACACATTTTTTTTTGGTTAACATTTTCTTTCCCATTCATGTCGACCATCACAAAATGTATACTTTAATGTGGCCTTACTAGTATGACCTCGTAATTTGTGGTATATGAAGTATTTTTCGAAATTTTTTGCACTCTTCCTTAGGTGTCTTCGTGCTAAAGCACTGCCGCGCTAAAAATCATTCCACGCTATCATTTGAACTGACTTCACTCTGCGGCAAGTAAGGACACAGCACGTAGTCAACGAACAATTAGTCTGATTTAAAATAAGGAAAACTTTTAGATACAAAATAATACGGTCTTTAGAAAGGCGGACGGATTACAAGATGTCAAAAAATCGCATCCTCCTCTGGACAGCCCCACGGTGCGTCTCAACAGCGTTTGAGAGATCGATTATGAATCTAAAGAACTCAAAAACCTTTCACGAGCCGTACTCACAAGCGTTCTACTTCGGTCCAGAAAAGCAAAGTGCCAGATATGCCGCTCAAGAAACAAAACAACAGGCGACCTACCGATCGATCAGCAAAATGCTGCAAAAGGAGTACGATGACAGAGATTTCGTCTTCTCCAAGGAAATGGCCTACTGCGTGGAAAATAAAATGGAAATTTTTGCAGAAGAAGGTTTCAAGAACTTTCAACATTCATTCCTCATTCGTCACCCTCTTAAAGCTGTCTATTCCTTGTACAGAGCCTCCACTAACCCGAAACTCACAGGATGGGATTACTTTGACCCTGCAGAGGCGGGCTTTCGTCAAATGCTCGAGTTATATGAATTTGTCGACAGAAATATTCACGGCAATCCCGTCGTCGTAGACGCTGACGATCTCTTGGATTATCCCAACGGAATTTTACAGAGTTATTGTGAAGCAGTTGGTTTGGAGTATGAAGAGACCATGACATCGTGGGAACCGGGTCCTGTGTCTGAATGGGACCTCTGGGCGGGGTGGCACGAATACTTTTTGAAAAGCACTCGGTTTAAACCAAGAGCCAAGAAGAATATGCCTCACGCATTCACTGCGTTCGATTTAGAAGAGCTTCCCCCTGAGGTGGCTGTTGTGGTAGAAGAGTGTATGCCGTACTATGAAACACTAGCAGCTAAAAAGATCTCACCAAAAAAACAATGAACAGTACTAAAGAATCTGACTTGATCTCCCTACTGAAGAATATAAGTAATATCAATTCTGCTATTTATCAAATAGGTCTATATATTATTTTCCATATGGTTAGTTCACCGAAGAGGGGGGGCAGTGGAAAATAAATCAAGCGAGATTTTGCTTTTCAATGTCGAAGAATTCTATGATGGATGTTAGTTTCGAAACGTTCTATTTTCATATCCTTCTATTTTATCGTTTATGATTAACTGGATTGATTACGTAAAGTTGTAGTGTTAACATTTGATCACGTTTTCCAGTAGCCGTAGCTATTATATCACACGTGTACTTATCAGGTTACGAGGTTCTTGCGAAAGTCACATGCTATCGTTGTACTACAAGTTTACATCTTCGCTATTTAAGAGCAAGCTATCTCGCTATTGTCGCTATCATTGGGTTATATGCTATCAAGCTAGGAGCTAAACCAAAGTAAGTCTTTTTTACTTGTTATAATTGTCGCATGATTTCGTTACTCTGTTTGCATCGGTTTCTATTAGATAAAGGCTTAGTTGATTTCATTGTCGTTATGCACAATCGATATAATGTACGATGTAAGTTACATAGGTTTATTTTTAATTTCCTTTTAGTTCGAACCACATCACATCAAATTGTATCACGCTATTGTTGTGCTTTAAAGCCATCGCTACGTATCTTCGCTACCGTCGATTATCGTAAGAATAAATTTGTAAGTTGGTTGGAAAACTTTGTTATACGTCTGTTGTTTGTGCGTTCGTTTTATGCTCCTGGTCACTCGCTATCCTGTGACTCCACTAAAGTCACATTAGTTCGAATTTGAGCTCGTTTGAATTTGGAACTTGGATTTGACCGAATCAGTTCAAAGGTTCAAGCATTCGCTACGCTTTCAATCGCTACGATTCAGGAATTTGGCTTCGCTACGACGCTGGAATTTACGCAATAAAACACGTGCTGGATATTATGTAACTCGCTGTCACGCTTTCGGAAGGGACGCGTGGTAATCGTACACCGGAAATGGCAGAAAGTAAAAAAAAAAAAGGACAATGAGCTGACTGAATCCACCAGGATCAGGGAGCCAAATCGTATGCTAGACTGGGAAGGAATCAATTCCGAAAGACTAAATCAGTTAAAGCAGACACGAAGTGCAAAAAGAGGCATCATTACTAAAGCGAAGAATGGAATTCGTGAATTAATGCTTGACTTTGCGAATATTCCTGTAGTTAATGAAAGGGTTGAAGAATTTAAGAGAATAGTTTACGATTTCAATGAAGCGCACCGTGCGTATCACAGTCAGCTAAAAGAGGAGCGCGACCTCGTCGAGTCTGAAGAGTACTCAAAGGCAGTCAACCACTCAGTAGCAGAGCTGACCGGCGAAATTGCAAGATGGGTTGCATCGGAAGAGTTTGTGCTACGCCCGTTGGAATCGGTTACACCGCAAGATTCGGTGAGCAACGTCGGGTCAAGGACCTCCGTACGGTCAAAGCGTAGTTCTCTTACATCTAAGACATCTCGCTCCAGTTCCCTCTCGGCCGCAAAGGCAAGAGCAGCTGCAAGAAGATCTGTTCTGCAGGCCGAAGCCGCTAATTTCGAATCCTTCCAAGCTATCCAAAGAGAGGAGTTGAGTTTGCAGCAAAAGAAGAAAGCTCTGGAGCTTCACACGGAAATCGCAAAGGCTGAAGCCGAAGAACTCGTGTATGCTGAGGTCGAAGCAAGCATTAGTCCAACCCCGAGCCAAGTTGCTGTTTCCAAGAAGTCCATAGTTTCCCAAATACCTGACTCAGAGGAGAAGACTCAGCCGAAGTAAGAGGATGAATCTCTTTCACAGAGACCTGACGGCTGGAATGAAGAAATTAAATCGGAAGTACCAAACCCTGTAGAGCCACCAGATGTAAAGGAAGAATTGGATAATAAGACTAGTCTCGGCAATGCTACCATGGCTGGAGATTTGGTTCAAAGGCTACTTGAAATACAATGCAAGCAAAATCAGCAGATGCAAGACCTGATTAAGCAACAGCAAGAGAGTACGTTGGCTCTAACTCTTCCCGAACCGAATGTCCCGACATTTAACGGAAACCCAATTGATTATTGGTCGTTTGTACGCGCCTTTGAGAACTTAATAGAGCGAAAAACTGCAAGTGAAAGCGCCCGTCTCTATTAACGAGCTCAAGATCCGACGACGGCAGACACCTAGGACGGCAGACTTGGTCGAGGGGGCTTGGGGAAAGGTCGCCGTTCCAATGGCGCGAAAAATAGCCTTAAGATAGCGCGCGAGACGGCGGCTGTAGTGGCTTTCCTCTTCGAAGTTTAGGAAAAGCGATGGCTACCTTTAGAAAGGCTCGTGAATTGTTGATCGCAAGTTTCGATGATGGTGACATTTCAGAAGATGAATTTTTACTGTTGTATGATGCCAACATTTCAAAGAATCTCGATTATCCTTACCAGAATTACGAAGATTTTCACCTGGAAGGACTCGGTGAAAGTGAGTGCTTGGCAGAATTTCGTTTCCGAAAAAGGGACATACCAATTCTCGCAGACGTAATGGGGCTGCCTGATTCGTATCGATGTGAACAAGGGACTGTATGCGATGGAATTGAAGGCCTTTGTCTTTTGTTAAGAAGATTAGCGTACCCTTGTAGGTACAGTGACCTAATCCATCGTTTTGGCCGCCCAGTACCAGAAATTTGTATGATCACTAATTATGTAATGGAAACTGTGTACAGCTTACATCATCACCGTCTGACAGCATGGAACCACACCTTAATGAGCCCCCCTCTACTTCAGAGACATGCTGATGCCATACAAAGGAAAGGAAATCCCCTGCCGAATTGCTTTGGCTTCATAGATGGTACAGTAAGACCCATTTGCCGACCACAAGAAAACCAAGGAATTGTGTACAACGGACACAAAAGAGTCCACGGATTGAAATACCAATCTGTTGCATTGCCCTGTGGTATGATAGCCAACATGTATGGGCCAGTAGGTAATGGAAATTATTCCTTTCAAGTTTTAGCAGGAGCCCAAGTAATGGGCTCCTTGTTTTAGTCACATTAGAACCATCTGTCACGCGGTAAATCCAAACAGAATGATAAATAGGTGAAAGCAGTTTTTAGCGTGAAACATATCAAGTAGTATAAATAAAATATACATTTTTTTAAAATTACAGAACACAATTTTCAATCAAAATGTGCATTTTCTTCCAGAGGGCCGCAAACATGATGCTGGAATGTTAGCTGATTCTGGCCTTCTGCAAGTCCTTGAACACCATGCTTTTTCGCCGACTGGTAACCCCATGGCCTTATATGGTGACCCTGCTTACCCATTAAGAGTTCACCTTGTTGTGCCATATCGTACTGCAGGTATCACTCCTCAAATGGGAGAGTTTAACAAGTCGATGAGCAGTGTCCGCATTTCAGTAGAGTGGCTTTTTGGGGATATTGTTAACTATTTTAAATTTGTTGATTTTAAGAAAACTCAAAAGATATCATTGAGTGCGTTGGGAAAGATGTATATTGTATGTGCAATTTTAAGGAATGCCATGACTTGTTTGTATGGCAATTTCACATCAAATTTCTTTGACATTGACCCACCAACCCTTCAGGATTATTTTTCCTAACAATTAAAACTATCTGTACCCTGAAATGAATTTCAATGATAAATTCATGTGAAATACACAACTAGTCAATAAGATGTAACATGTAAAACAGTGTATGTCTGCAACCATAAGATAAATAAACTACTGTTTAAAGTTGTAAGGTATTTATTAACAAACGTGTTTTTAGTATTGTAGTCAGGTCAACTGATGTATAACAACAACTATAATTAATGTATAAAAAAGGGTTCAGAATCCATTTCAGAGGGTGATTAAAGGTATAATAACACCAGAGGTGTTGGCTTTCTGTAGGCGTGGTCAGTACATAGGTCACCAAAGTAGTCATTTAACGCGTTGAGTTCGTAGTGGCCAAGAGATAGAGAAATCACCGGCTTGCGGCGCTGAGATGTTTTATCCACTTTTTCCACCAATCCCGAGTTCCAATAGAGGCGATAAAGTCCCTTCTGTTTCTGAAAATCACTTCAGAGATCCTTTTATTCATAACTTTAAGACGGTCTAGATTACTGAGTGATATGCGTGATTTGGCTCGTATCATCGATCGAACGAGCGGAGTCATCCAGCCGGGTCTCTTGAAGACATGCGCACTGTTTTCAGAGGCATGCAGCTATCCAGGTGCCCTAGGATGGTATTTTCGAGCCTACCAACCACTTCATCGACATCAGTTTCCTGTATCATATCATCCCAGTTTTCCTTCGCCAACGCGATATACAGATCACGCTTTCTATGAGCCCTTTGGTCACGCACGTATACTTTACGGCGGATAGGTGGAAGCTTTATACCGGGTGGTAAAATAACTCCCATGTGAGGGTGATGAGCAGAGGAGAATGGGGAATCTTCGTAATCCGGACCTCTGTATTTCAGAATTCCCAGGGATTTAAGGGTATCGAAAACATGAGGCGCAGGTCGGCCCGCCGAACGTCTCAGAAATAGCCTGTCACGATTGTGAGAGCAATGGATTCTGACTGACCCAATTGCAGGTTGACAAGCAGAGTCCGAGGAGTTGGAGCTCTGTTTTCGTTTACCGTGGTCATTATCCACTTCTTCAGGTCCAGGATGGATGGACATCCATATTAACAGTAATGTCGAGCAAATAAAAATGCCTCGACTGTCCCATTTCACCATAGCCCTTCTTACCCGGAGATTTCGAGACCGGGATACTCTCAGCTCAAATCTAGCCATCCAACTAATGCATCTTGATGTTAAAGATTGATTTCGATAAGCTCTTTCGACTGTTATCATAGTTATGAAGGTAAAAATATAGAAAACTGCAAGAGCTCTAAAGAGCGTGGCAGCCATATTGGCATGCATAAAAAATCTGATGTATAACAACAACTATAATTAATGTAAAAAGGGTTCAGAATCCATTTCAGAGGGTACAAGGTATAATAACACCAGGGTGAGAGCAGAGGAGAATGGGGAACTTCCCAAAATTTGCACAGAGAATGTTCCAAAACTGCAACAGACCCTCCACCCACCCCATATCAATCCTCTCTAATCATACAAAAACGTAGTCAAAAGGCCATAAAATTTGAACAAAACAACAGCATTTAACGCATTCAGTTACTCAATGTTTTTCTAAAAGTCTCAAAATGATTTGTGACTGCTGTTGTTGCATGGCAACAAACATCTGCTGAAACTGTTGCATTTGATACTGCTGCTGCTGGACTTGCTGGGACATCATTTGCATCATTTCTTGATGTTGCTTTTGAGACTCATCTTGCTTTCTTCTCTCTATGTCCAGGCGCTGTATGTGCAATTCCAACTCTTCAGCTTTCCATTTCTGAACCATATCATTCTTCTCACGCAGATACGCCACTGTGTCCCCACCACTCCTTGTGACTTTTCGCTTAGGTTGTGCATTCTCTACATCCCAGACTTCATCACCATCCTTCCTTTTCTGTGTTGAACGCATGCTCTCCATTGCTCTATTCCGCATCTCGACGGCTTTGGCACTATCCTCTTTTTTCTTGTCAACTTCCAGACTATTTTCAGCATCAGCCTCCTTTTCCAGTATTTCCTCGAAAGCTTTCTCAACATCATTCATGTCAGTCTCAATGCCACTAGCCTTTTTCTCTTCTTGTAACTATTTCTTTAATTTTTCAATGAGTAGTGTGTAACGCTCTCTCACTGAGCGCTTGTTAACTTTAAATGTTGGAATTTTCAAGGAGTTGAGATTACTGGCAATTTTTTCCCAGATCTGCCCTCTTGCGATACTTCCCTTTTTAGCTTTAAAGGGTTCTAGAGCCAGAATTTCTTGACAGAGAGAGTGATCATGATCATCTGTCCATTCCATGTTAGATCTACATTTTAAGAAAATATAATATGGATATTTAAAAAATCCTGGTGAGTCTGCTAACTAAGCTTCAATTCCAACTGCTTAGTTCAGTTCAGAACTCTCCAAAGTAAATCAGAGCAGTCTTGTTTATGTATGTTGTGGTTAAAATTTTTGTTTGCGGGTTTTAAAAATGCTCAAACCACGTTAATTTTTTGTTTCCCTTTGTCTCAGGTTATGGTAATAGATGCGAGAAAAAGGATAATAACAATAAAAACAGAATAAAGAATGAAAAATGGTTTAAAACTTTTTAAATTGACACTGGAAATATTTGAATCACAACATGGACATGTATGCAAAGCAGCATAATACAGAAAATATAAACTTATTATTATGATAAATGTTTAACCAATTTCCGACAGCAAATTTTTCACGCTTAATCTAGGACGTTTCTTTATGGCTGAAAAAACATCACCGAAACTGTTGATTATAAAAACGTTCTCAGATGATCCTTGTTGTTGAACTCGAGAAAAGACAAATGGAATAATATCATGGCCATCAATTTATGCACGAAGAAGTCTACGAATTTTTAATTGAAATAAAGAAATTATTAAACTTACTGAGTTGTTTTCTTTGTTGACATTGAGCCAGTAATAGTAACGAACTGTTTATGAGAAAGGCAAACGAATAAAGTTAAAATTTCCTCGAACTAATAGTTTATTTTTGCTTGGTTGTTTCACAGACATCCTCTCACAACAATAAACGATCAAAATTGCCAACAATTTTCGCTCAAAGTAAGTTCAATCGGCGTTATTTTGCAAAAGTTTACTCACGTTTTAGCCGCGACGGCAAAATGGCCTCCTTCACGTCACAGACAAGGCCGCTACGGCGGGAAACCTCACAACAACGGCAGCCGGAAGTAATTCTGGCGGTAACTTCACTTCCGCTTGCCGTCCCAGATGTCTGCCGTCGTCGGATCTTAAGCTCGTTATTATCTCGTGCAATACACCACTGGTGAAGTTAAGGATCTGGTAAAGAGCTGCCTCGCTATGAAAGAAGAAGATGGATATCGCGAAGCTCGAAGTCTCTTAAAGACAAGATACGGACAAAGCTACCGCATCGCCAGCGCATATGTGGACAAGCTAACGAAAGGACCGGCTATCAAGTCAGAAGATGGAGATGCGCTAAGAAGATTCTCTATTCTGCTAACAGGATGTAAGAACACTCTCAAAGAAATTGGATACCTAAACAAAGTAGAGAACCCTGACACACTGAAGACAATAGTTAACAGACTACCATACGGTCTCAGACAGAAATGGCGCGACAAAGCGGATAACATTACCGAGAGCCAAGGAAGAGAGATAACGATTGGAGACCTCAGTGATTTTGTAACAGCGAAGTCTAGAGCTGCCAATCATGCCATATTCGGAGATATTTCAAGTCAGCCATCACCGCCCCCAAGAAACCCAAGAGAGAAGAAGCCACCGCGAAATGCTTCTTCATTCGGAATACAAGCTGATCCCAGAAAGCAAGGTAGTGAAGGAAGAAACCCACCGAGTCATCACCGCCCCAAGTGTCCCCTCTGCGGTTCAAATCATTGGCTGTCCCACTGTCAAGGTTTCAAGGGAAAATCGTTGAATGACAGGCTGGCCTTCGTGAGCTCTAAAGGACTTTGCATCAACTGCCTGGTAGCCAGCCACATGGTTACCTCGTGTCCTAAACCAAGCTTCTGTCGAGTCACCGGTTGTAAGGGAGTCCATTCTAGCTACCTCCACCCGAAAGCTATGCGACCAGCCACGAACGAGGAAACAGAAAACCCCACTTCAGCTCAGGGCGAATCTGCAGAGCAAGCAAGCGCTCAAGACGCCTTAAACAGCTACGTTAAAGGAAATCCTGACTACAGTCAAGCATCCGTGACTGGTCTAGCAGTGATCCCTGTGAAAGTTAAAGCACCAGGCCGGGAAGAGATGGTAAAGACCTACGCTTTCTTAGATAACGGCTCCAACACCTCCTTCTGTTCTGAAGAACTCGCTAAGCAGCTAGGCCTTTCAGGAAAGGAAACGACGCTGTCGCTGACAACGATGGAAAAGGAAAACAGCAAAACAGAAAGCCTTGAAGTCAGCTTAGAAGTACTCGATATGGAGGAAGAAATCATCGTTGAGCTACCACTTGTTTTTACCAGACCGAAGTTGCCTGTGTCAGTGGAAACTGCAGCCAAACAGGAAGATATCGACCGATGGCCACACCTTGCCGGCGTAACGGTCTACGGAATCAAGGCGGACGTTGGTTTGCTGATCGGCAGCGATGTCCCAGAAGTCATGGAACCGAAAGAGATCAGACCAAGTAAAAATGGTGGTCCATACGCGACGAGAACTGTCTTTGGCTGGGTTGTGAATGGTCCCCTCGGTAGAGCCCAAGCCGCAGATACTCGCACCGCTAACTTTATTAAAGCTGATGTGGAACTCAGTGAACAGTTCCGGAAATACTGTAATATGGAATTTAGCGACTCGATCTACAGCAACAAGTCATCCATGTCTCAAAACGACAAGCGTGCCTTAGAAGTAATGCGCAAGTCGGCTACGCTAAAAGGCGGACACTACGAAATTGCCCTGCCGTGGAAAGACGACCCTCCACTCCTGGAAAACAACAAAATCGTGGCTGAACATCGGTTAAGATTACTGAAGAAGCGTCTCTTAAAGGACCCAGAATTGCTGACGAAGTACAAGGAATGCATTGAAGACCTACTCAAAAGAGGACATGCAAAGAAGGCTCCTGCTAACGGAATCGAAGGGAAGACTTGGTATCTCCCACA